TAAGTAGTTTATTTATTTTAGTAAGTAGTTTATTAACTTTAGAACTTACCTCTATTTTAACCCCCTACTTATTATTATCTTATATTAAATTATATAGATCTACTAGTTAACCTAACTTAATATAGTTATAATTTCCTTAATTATATATATATTTAGTGTTCTAAAGGTTTATAAAGTTAGTAACTTCCTCCTATATTATATTACTATAAATAGTATATATAGTAATTAGATAGATAATATTATCTAGAATGAAATCTCTAGTATTAATTATCTCTAATAAAAAATACTAATTTAATATTAAATAAGGATACTTTATAAGAGGGATAGAAATACTTATAATCTATTAATTACTAAACCTTATATATAGGAGCTTCTATTATAACTTAATCTTAATATTACCTATACTTAGTACTTAGATATAATAAGATAATATTTAATTATTCTATTAGTAAACCTAAGCTCTACCCTCTCTATTAATATATTTAATTCTTATTTACTTAACTTCTATAAGGAGTACTTAGATACTTATAAAGAGAGGGGTTTTATTACTATAGTTTACTTTAGTGAGAAAAAGCTAAATCCTAAAGGCTTAGACTATATATAGGTATTATTTTATAATACTTAGTATAGTTATTATAGAGTATTTAATATAGATCTATATAATATATCTTAAATATATATTAATATAAATATAAATCTAAAAACTAAATCTCTTTAACTTTTTATATCTATTTATAAATTATAAGAAGTTAGGTTTAAGAACTTTAAAGTTAGTATAGTATTACTAATTACTTTTTTATTATTATACTACTTTATCTAGGAATATATTCCTATAATAGTTATAAATTTAGTTCTTCCTAATAGTAATACTAGCTATAAAGTAGATATATTAGTAAAGGTAGCTCTACTTAAAGTTTAAGATAGCTAGTATCCTCTATAGATCTTTTTTTATAAACTTAATTACTACTACTTTAACTTTAGCTCTCTCTACTTTATTAAAGTATTACTACTTTATTCTATAACTATAATATATCTTTTTTAGCTAGACTTTTAATAGAGTATTATATCCTTAGTAAGTAAGCTCTTATAAGATCTAATTATCTTTTATATTTTACTAATAAAAGAGATATTTAATTATAAGGAGTATATTCTCTTTCTACTTTAGATTATATTAGCTATAATACTATAATCCTTATTTAGTAAACTAATACTTAAGTATCTTTTTACTAATAGCTAAGCCTTACTCTAAGAGGGTATTTATAATATTATCTATAAATATACTATTAAAAAAGAGGTCTTTAATAAATAGTTAATATAACTTTAGTTTAATAGGTACTTCCTAACTTATAATAAACTAAGTGAAAATAGTATAGAAGGGGGGTAATAAAAATTAACCTTATAATTATGAGTAATTATAGGTGGATTTTAGATAAGTAGAGGGGAAAAATTAATATACTTATTAACGTAGGTGGTGGGTAGTAGAAGAGGTAGGGTTAAGTTAGCCTAACTTTTGTCCGTAAAAACCAAAAAACCTAAGGTTAGCAGATTTATCCTAGTGGTGCACTGTACCCGTCCTCTTGTACGCTAGCATGCACTTTAGTGTAGCATTGGAATGTCAATCCCTGATCGTCACCCCAATCCCCGTCACCGTTCCCTTTTCTCCCGTCACCGAGCCCATTTAATCTCGGCCGTCACCGTCCCCCAGATCGCCCCCCAGCAGTCTCTCCAATGAGTCTCTGTCATGCGGGGGAAAGCATACCCCAAAGCGGGCCGGACTTGGAGACAGCGTAGTATTCGCATGGGACGAACTCATCTCCCCAAATTTCCCCACGGGCAGTTGAATTTAGCCTGAACTTCAACCGGGTGCAACCCCCCATTATCCATCACCCATCAATTCCGTATTGCCGGAACATCGCGTGTGCCCACATGGCGAGCGCAGCAATACTCCCAATTGGAAAGCTTGTTATATTGAGGGGCAAACCAGACACAATGAGATCAAAGGTAGCATGCCTTAAATATCACTCCCGGCCCCCGTAGCTGGAGCTTCTGGGAGCGTGCCATCCCTTGGGTGACTTTGAGGCTCTCACGATGTTGTTCCCGCTCAAGACGGCCCTCGCGGCCTTGCTCATCGCATCGCCATTGACCGAGGCAGCGCGCTCGCGCTATCCCACTCGGGATGAGAAGGAATGGGTGACCGTCTGGGGCACTATGCCTCAGCTCGTCGAGCCTGCCAACCTACCTTCGGCGCCGTTTGTAAGTGCGCCTCTTCATGACCTCCTTCTTCATCCTCTGACGCTTCGCAGAACGAAACAGGCCGCGTCTTCAACGACGCAACCCTCCGCCAAACAGTCAAGCTCTCCCTCCCCTCGTCCACCCTGCGCCTCCAGATAAGCAACGTCTTCGGCGGCTCCGACCTCCCCATCACGGCCGTCACGATCGCCCGCACCGCGAACAACACGGCCGGCTCGAGCGCCATCGACGCCGCCTCCCTCCAGATCGTCACCTTCTCCGGCAGCGGCGCCTTCGCCGTCCCCAACGGCGCCGTCGTCTTCTCGGACCCCATCAATCTCCCGGTCTACGCCAACGCTGTCGTCTCGGTCACAATCTACCTCGCCGACGGCCAGTCCACCAACAGCATCACCGGCCACCCCGGCTCCCGCACCACCTCCTTCCTCGCCGCCGGCAACCGCGTCGCCGACCAGGACCTCGGCGGCAACGCCACCGCGACGGACCACTGGTACCTCATCAGCGCCATCGAGGCCCAGGTCCCCAAGGGCTCCTCCGCGGCGGTCGCCATCGTCGGCGACTCCATCAGCGACGGCCGCGGCTCGACCACCAACGCCAACAACCGCTGGCCGGACCGCCTCCTCGCGCGCCTGCAGACGTCCAACTCCTCCTCCGCCACCACACGCAACATCGCCGTTGTCAACCAGGCCGCGGGCGGCAACCGCGTCCTCGCCGACGGCCTCGGCCCCAACGCCCTGGGCCGCCTCGACCGCGACGTCGTCGCGCACACGGGCGTGCGCTACGCCGTGATCTTCGAGGGCGTGAACGATATCGGCGTCGCGGCTAACGACATCGCCTCGCAGACGGCCATCGGCGACCGCCTCCTCCTCGCCTTCGACCAGATCGCCACGCGGCTGCACCGCTTCGGCATCCCCGTCTTCGGCGCGACCATCACGCCCTTCACCGGCGCGGACCAGCCGTACTCGGACCCCGAGCGGGAGAAGACGCGGCAGCGCGTGAACGAGTGGATCCGCACCTCGGGGCGGTACGATGCCGTGATCGACTTTGACGCGGCGGTGAGGGATCCCGCGGCCCCGGAGAGGTTGAGGGCGGAGTTTGATACGGGGGATCATTTGCATCTGAATCCGGCTGGGTATGAGGCCATGGCTGCCGCAGTTGATTTGAGCATTTTTGAGAAGTTTAAGGATGGGGTGTCGAGGTTGACGTGAGCGTGGGGAGGTGTTAGTGGAGGGTGATGTTGTATGTAAGGATAGAAACAGAAATCATCTGGCCCTCCATGTTGGATTCGGTGTTTGGAAGCTGTGACTGTCAATGAGTGAGCTCTGCCTCTGTGCCGGAGTTACTTGTGTAATCGAGAGTGAGGACGATGTCATGTCGTGGCACCGCAAAGCAGTTCGTGACCGAGGATTTGGCTCCGCATCGTTGGCATTTCTAGACCTGGAAAGTTCAGTACCACGTAAGTCCTAGGGACAAAACAGTTTATTTGCGGTAGGATTTTGAGGATGAAGTTCCTGTAGAGATCTTATTACCAAAGTAACCAACTGATAGCACCGCCCACATTTAGGCATCCACGCTGACACATAGCCAAGCTCCTAAAGTCCCCGGATTCGCCCTCAGGTTACAAGGCGGGGGATGTTTGCATATGCCAGCGCGTCGTCGGGCGGAGTGAGTGTGAATGATTGGGCTATGAGGTAGGCCTCATGTGATATTGCCGGTCTGCGCATTGCAGTTCTACTAACACACCGCACCAATAGGATTATGCCACTTTTAGCTGATGAAGCTCTACGCCGTATCTTCACTGCATTTTTAACCCCCAACGTGCGTGTGAACGACAGCCCCTTCCGCAACCAACTCAACGGGGTCATGGGAACGTAAGATAAGGCAGTTCGCAATCAAGTAATTTACGGTCTTACAGGTCTAGAAAGATTGCTGTTATCACTAGGAATACGAAGTAAAATGTAGATAAGTGTTAGCGACGACCTTTTCATGTACAATACAAATCCTTTTTGTTTGTAACCCCCTCTGCCTGAATCGCTTCTTTATGTGTAAGATAGTAGAATATTTTCTAAAGAAACATAACAGGCGCTAAATAGAGACACAGAGACAGTCTCTTAACGAGGGTCCACGCTTACAATCACACGAGGATTATGTTGTTGGTTGGTCCTTCACTGCATTTTTAAACCCAACCGGGCGGGTAGATGACTGACATTGCTACTAGGCATGTTGAGACATCCAGTCATCGCTAGTCCACATAAGCACACAGGAACGCCATTTGTATATCGTGGACCCGCAAAGGAGATTCACGATCGAGGATTCAATTCCATACAGTTAGCTACGTCTAGGTATGGGGATCTCAGTGTCATCGCAACACATGTTCGACAGCACATCCTCAACGAAACTCATTAACAGAGATCTCAAAGTGTCTAGCTCGATTCCTCCTATCGGATGCTGAGGTATGAAGTGTTTCTACTCTCTTCACCTCATATGCCATCAACCTAGTCTTTAATCTTGCAAGTCCTATGTCTCTGGTAGACAATACGTAAGGGTAAAATATTTAGAGAACTGTCTACCAGAGACGTAGGACCCACCTTCTAGACAAAGAAACGTTAAGGTGTCCATGACCTAGTCTTTAAATTTTGTAAGCCCGATGTCATTGGTAGACAATACCCAAGGGTAGAATACGTAGACAACTGTCTACCAGAGACACAGGACTTACCTCCCAGAGTAAAGAAACTTGACGGAATCCAACACCCCTACGTTGAAACGTCAAGCCGTAGCCCGCTCGAAGCGACCACACTGCTCGCGGCCGACCGACCGGACGGGCCGAGCTCCACACTGGAGCCGGTGGGGTCTTCCTCCCGGACGGACCTTCGGTGGCGGGGTTTCATACGTCCCAAGTAGTGATCCAGGCCCTTGAACGGAGGCCGATGGAAGGCTTCTTGGATACTTTCCAGTGACCGACCGCGTGTCTCAGGCATGTAAGCTGCCAGAACAGCGGTAGTACCCAAGGCCAGACCGGCGAAGAGGAAGTAAGCTCCAAAGGCGGACTTTTCGAGGAGGATAGGGGTGATCATGGCAACGATCCAGTTGCAAAGCTATGCGATTGTGTGAGCCAAGTCCCTCGAGAGTCTTTGAAAACGCAACACTTACAAAGTTGACACCCGTCCCCACACAATTTGCTGCGGCGCGGGTGTTCCCTGGCTGGATCTCGCTGGCGTAGACTTTGCCGACAATGTTCCATGTCGCGGAATACGTGAGGCCGAAAGCGAACACACAGATGATGACGACCCATCGGGCGGCCCCGTATGGATGGACGACCCCAGCAGCGTACAGTATGCCCATTAACAGCATGCAGCATGTGAGGCCGACGCCCCCTGAGATGGCTGAGGTCCGCCGACCCCATTTATCGGCGAGCAAGAACGCCGGAACGGAGACGGCTAGCATCAGAAAATCGCGGACAGCCCCGAGGCTAAGAAGGCGGCGGTTTCTCCTGGGAGACCAGCTCGCGCGAATAGAATCGGTGCGTACTTGGTTGCGTCAGTGGAGTATGGAAGCAATCGTTGAACGGACTCACGTAGACAACGCCGTCGATGCCAGACAGCTGGATCATGCCGAGAATGAAGATGGCCAGGGTTGTCCTGGTACGGTATCCTTTCCTGAACAGCAGGGTAAAGCTCTGCCATGGAGAAAGACTAGGCTTTTGCTCTGATTGCGAAGTAGAGAGAAAGTCCCGCTCAGCTTCGGCTCTGGAAAAGTCGAGTCGTTCGAGAGCGCGCATGGCGTCAGCTCGACGGCCGTGAAGTAGCAACCACCTCGGTGATTCGGGGAGGACGAGGCTGCCGACTCCGAACAAGACGGCGCAAACACCTTGAATTACATAGGGCAGCCGCCAGGACAAGCTCGAATCGATATTGACGGTCCCGTAGGCGGCAAAGTATCCAACACAGACTCCCGCGGTCGACATGAACTGAGGGAGCGCAGCCAACATACCCCTGGATCTGGCGGGGGAGATTTCGCAGATATAGACGCTCAAGTTGGCCAGAAAGACTCCCTCGCCAAGGCCAGCCAAACCCCTTCCAAACATGAAGTGCGGCAGCGTGTATGCTGTACCCTGGAGCAATACTCCGATTCCGAATAAGATAGCTCCCGCAGTGTTCAATTTCAGGCGTCCGAACCTGTCTGCGAGATACCCGGTCAAGACGGACGGAACGGCCCCCGTAAGCATTATGAGTGAGACTGTGAAACCAACGAGAAAGGGGCTCAAGTTCCCTATCGACTCTTTGAATTGAGACATGGCTGTTATCGCTCCGATAGAGCCTGTGTCGAGGCCATTCACAAGCCCCCCAAGTGAGATGGCCAAGGAAGCGACGACGTACTTTGGAATTCGTTTAGGAGACATGATGAATGAATAAAAATCAAATTTGTCTCTGGAGTTCGAAGATGATTTGAAGATGGAAAGTTGGCCTCTGTAGACAACTTCAATTAGGTAGCTCAGTCATACGGTTAGTTGTTTGTTTCCCGCGCCGATGGCCGGCCGGAGGGGTTACGGTTAATGTTCTTTGAGTGACGTTGCAGAAACGTACCCCGCCCGTCAAACGGGCGCTTGAATGCAGCCAAAAGTTCTAAGTCGGCTCAAATTGGTGGTCAGAAAGCCCATTTGTTTGTGCATGGCGCTGACGATCCCACCCTCACGAACTCGGATCGAGATGTGACCAGACACCTCGGTGAGCCTCGGTGAGGCGACCAACGACGAATATGGGCGCTGTGAAACTTGTGGGAAATTGCGAAACATCCTCGGGTTTGGGCGAGCTGTAGCCTTTCCAAAAGACGACTTCCCGATTGCTTGACATGTTCAAATGCAATTAGAATGGAAAGGTTAGCAAACGATTACCCATTGCCAATTAAGAGGAGTGGACGTCATCCGGCAGAAGTACCTAAGATCTCGTTGCACGGACCATGTTGCGATAACGATAAGCCGGCGGACAATTAATTCAATCTACTCCTGAACTGGACACGGCGCATTCTACGCATCCCTCCCTCTGCTTGAAGTCGATTCCTCGTGATACACTTCCTGTCGCGGTCCACCACGATTTTAATTCGCATGAAGTTTCTTTGAGTTCTAGTCACTCCTTTGGACACAGTTCTGGCTCCGTAGAGCCCGCCCCTCCTTTCCGTTCTCGATGCCTTGTTCCCTTCTCACCCATCGCCATGGACGGTGATCCGAAGGTCGAGTCGGAGCTCGACTCGTTCAGCTTGACCTTTCCCCTGCCCTATCGCATTGGGTTTATTATCATACTGGGTTAGTCGCCAATACCTCATGCTTGGAAAACGGGACTGACAGCAAGATAGCCGTCTGGGGTTGGGCAGTCAACCTTCACTGCCTGCACAAGTTCAAAATCGACGTGCCCACCTTGATCCGATACCCTACACGATCCTCTCCGACGGAGCCGGCACACCACCTCTCGACATACCGCCTCGCGACCGTTTTGTCCACCGTTTTCTTCCTCTCGATTTCGACGTTCTGGATCTTCACCCGCCGTACACCCTCCCTCGTTATCGAATATGACTGGCTGCCGATGACATATTTCGTCGCCCTCGCGGCCATCTTCTTCGTCCCGATCCGCAGCTTCTCACACGGCGGGCGCTCGCGGTTCCTTGCGACGCTGAAGCGCGTGAGCATCGGAGGGATCGCGCAGGCTCAGGACGGCAAGTTCGGAGACATCCTGCTCGCCGATGTGTTGACGAGCTACTCGAAAATCCTGGGAGACCTCTACGTTGTCCTCTGCATGTTCTTCACGCCGTCTGGCTCCTCGACCGCTCGTCCTGACCGCAACTGTGGCGGAACTGTCATGGTACCGCTCATCATGGCCGTGCCTTTCGCGATCCGGTTCCGACAGTGTATCATCGAATATCTACGAGTCAAGAGGGCGCCGTATAAGGAGTCTGTCGGCTGGGGCGGTCAGCATCTTGCCAACGCAACCAAGTACGCGACAGCGTTTCCGGTCATTATCTTCGGCGCAATGCAGCGCAGCTTGCCGGCCGGTACGTCTGCGCCTGGGCTGAACAGGGCGTGGCTGGTAGCAGCACTGGTCAACTCGCTTTACTCTTGGTACTGGGATGTCGCCAAGGATTGGGACCTGACTCTCTTCTCCTCGGCCCGGGAGCGCAACAACCCGGAACACCCATTCGGCCTGCGGCGGCGACTTGTCTTCCAGCAGCCCGTCATCTACTACTGCGTTATCGGGATGGATTTGATGTTGCGTTGCACTTGGTCCATTAAGCTGAGCGCGACATTGGACAAGTTTACCGACTTTGAAAGCTCCATTTTCCTTTTGCAATCTCTCGAGGTATTTCGACGGTGGGTGTGGATATTCTTCCGGGTCGAGACGGAGTGGCTTAGGAACAACACGTCGGGATTGGGAGTTGACGACATCTTGCTGGGAGACTACCAGGGCAAGTATGATTCTGACGAAGATTAGGGGCCCAGCAAGCCCCCTGATGAGAAAGATACTGTAATGTAGTGTGCGATTAGGAATCTCTGGAGTTATCGGCCTAGACGGAAGAGCGGTCAAAATCAGCGATCTGCTTGGGGGCCTGCAGGAGTTCGACACCTTTCATCGAGTCTATAGATTTTCTTCAAACAAATCTGTTCTATGTAAAGCTGTATTTGCGATTATGATATGGGTATCTTCTTCGTTTATCCTCCGAGTCTCCTGGTTAGGTAGGCAACTTACACCGGAACTCATCTCCCATTACTTCCTCCAACACTACAAGCCAATGCAAGGGCGTTTATTCACAGTGACCAAGACAGCCAAGGCCTTTTCGCTGTGTTCGGCGCCTTCAACTTGTTCAAGCAGTAGCCGTTGTAATTGCTCCTCCTCCGGCCGTCGCATTCGCACCGGCACCCAATGCCGCCTTCGATTGGTGGCGAGAATGTTTCGTTGCCAAGCCTACGAGAGCCTTCTAGTTGCCCTCCTGGGGCATTCGCGGGACATTGGAAGACGTCGTCATGTCTGTACCCAAAGTCTTCAAAGTGGTGAACCTGGCTGGGATCAAGGAGCATGCCCACAGCAAGCGAATGTACAGCGGCATCTCCCCACTAAATGCAACGACAAATCCCTGTTAGCGATCTTGTGCAACCCGAAAGTCGCCAAGGCAGCGGCGTAGTGGAGGTATTCCGGGAAGCGGCTCGGCAGTCTTGAAAAGGAAGTGACTTCTTCTTTCTTACACTCCCCATCACCACATGTACCTCGACGTATTCTTCAATGCGCGGCTGTCGACTCACCCTTTCGAAATAGAACCCGCCTGTGCTTTCGAGCACCCTAAAGAACGACTGGTATTGTTTGCCCCTGAAGAAGTCGAGATCTGCAATCTCGAAGTTGCTCCAGTAGTGGCAGCCGCTCCAGGCGTCGCCGAATCGATCGCGATGCGGTAGAAAACTCATCAACGATCTCAATGGATACGGCAGCCAGGACGGCTCCATCATCGCCGTCCAAAGCGACGATGACGCGATGTCGAAGGCCTCCTTGAACTCGGCCGTGTGTCGAAACAGCGACGGCACCGTGGCCCATTCCTCCCAGAGAGACAATGTGAAGCCATACACTTTCTTGCGCTGAGCCATTTCGACGAACGGATCGTATGTTATCGAGCAGTAGAAATCGACGTCCGGTTCGAGTCGCCAGTACCACTTGTACTTTTGGAGTACTTCGAGGTGATAGAATTTCCTGCATTGCTTTCGGTGAGTCTCTCTCTTTCAAGTACTCAGTACCTGCCCAGTCTTCTTACTCACCCTGAATAGAACCGGCACATGTGGTGGTAGCCTTCTTGCCCAGCATGTATCGTTCCACGTGCTCCCTGCTTGGCGATGCTCTCCTTCGCTGCCGTTTGGTTGAGCCACGTCGGAAACGTCCAATCCTCCCGTTGTATTGTCTCGAATGTCACAACTCCGCTCGATGTACTCCCCAGTACCTCCATGAACCTGTCGTCGAACGGCTCGTCGTTGAGGAACACGATTGGGTAATGGAACCATCGATTGAAGTGCCTCTCGAAAGATGCGACAGTATGGTTTGCGGCTTCGAGCTCCGAGTTCCTCGCCAGCATGACAATTACTCCGTTCTCGCGGTTGCCAGTCACGTCTGGCTCACGACACGACGTGTAGAACGGCTCATCTTGCTCTTCGACCGGAACCGGTACCCTGAACTTGCTACAGTGGTACGCAGACTCGAGCAGCCCAATGGCAAGGAGTACCCAAACCCAGATGGGCAGACGGAAGGACGTCGGTCGTCGTCGCGGACTCACGTATCGGCGAATCATGGCCTGCACAATGCGATCTTGGAAGGACTTGCTACTTCCTCTCCGGCTTTGTTGATTGCTGCATGAACTTCCTATTTCCTATTCGGCTGACAAGCAAGGAGAATCTCAAGTCGAGAGGAATGCTAGGCTCCCTAGGCACCCCAAGCGCTGCCTCTGGATCAGATCCAAGACACACGGGTAAACTACGACCCAGCTGGCGCGCGCAGAATGTTTGGCTGCGGACGCGATTGACCGCGACCGCAGTCGCAAGCCCGTCTGTACATAGACACATGGCGTAGCTGACGCCAGCTTGACTCGAAGAAGCCCGAGCTGACGCACGCCAGACGCATACTGACACCAGCCAGGAGATTGAACCTGTGTTGGCGCTGTCTGGACCACGGGAGTTACGAAGAGAGGGAGAAAGCGGGAGAATCCCCCCTGGCTAGCCTGAAGATCGTCTGCAAGCCATCAATCAAAAGATGGGACGGCATTGGCTCATCCCTATCCAGTCTGCCCAGTGCTCGAGCTAGCTGCAGGATATCTGCCCCCCGCACGGGTAACCACGTACCCAACGCGGGACGGGCAGTTAATGAGCCGCCTTGAGAAAAGGAGACCTCTCGACTACTATTGCCCACAATTTCTTTTCCGCATCCGTGGAAGCATTGAGGCTGAGAGTTGTCTCGTCCAAGACCAGTTCCGCTGGAAGCTCAGAGACCGCCAAAAGGAGCTCTGGTCACCACCCATCGATCCAGACTCGTTGCCAATCGCAACCTCATGCTCTACGATTGAGGATGTTCCTGGGCTGTCGGAATGCCCTTGAGATCTTCAGATCGCTGAACCATCATGCAGATCCCTCCGACTTCAGCCTTTCTTCAGCTTTGCCCACGGCTTGACAATTCGCTGTGCTCAGGCTCAGCAGCACCAGAAGACACTCCTTTCAATGTCACTATTTGACCTGTTCGCCTGGATCTTTCCTGTCAGCCACGGGCTTGCAGTAACTTGCCAGCTTGCATGACACGTGTAACACGAGTCCTTCGCAATCGTCATGAAGCATTCCCGTCCCAGAGACCTCAAGGATGCAGTACGCCGCACAGGGCCATGCGTCTGCGATAAGCCTCAAAATCAGCCCCAAGGAACACGCTTTTGGACCTTCGCCTTGGAGGATCACAATACTTTTGTGGTGATAGCGTACGGCATATAGGAGAATGGCTGAGGCAGGGTGAGGCTATGCAGCATCCACAGATCGCAGCACGTGTCCATCGGCGGAGAAGACCACAAGCGGGAGCTTCTAAACTACTATCGCCACAAGAAAAGGCATCGGTTTCGATGATTGCGCCTGGCAACTCTCCCAGCAATCCCATACGATGAGGGAGCTCCTCAGCCGTGAACACGGGAGGCCCTGGAAAAGAGACGGGTCGAGAACTCGGGCAGGGGCGCATGGTTCATCAGAGCAGGCCTGGCCCCGGGGCTGGTGTGAAAAAGCATCGCGATTGGCTACCATCGGGCCGCCACACTCTGTAAAGCGAGGGAACTGCTGTCTATCGCCGTTTGCGGACATAATGACGTGGGTCTAGCAACAACTCCAAAGGGGCCCGTCAGGCCATGAACTACGCTCGATACCCAATCCGATTACAGCAGAGATTTCAAACGGCTATGCCGACCTTCAACGGCCTATTACTTCCATCTCTCCGGTCCCCTACGAATTTCAGATGCGAAGGCGAGATCCTAAGTCAGGTTGCGAGGCCCTGGAGCAGAATCACGATTCATCCCCGTGTCTCGGATTTGGCGCCAGATCTGTGAGAGCTGGGACTCGGTTAGAGCGGCCTGTCTAGACAAAGACTGCCCCTGGTAGCATCCATCATGATGTCCGTCATCGACCAATTCTGTGCGGCGATTCGGCGGGGAAAGGCGAAGCTTTCCTTTCGAGTTGGCCAACCTCCATGTTCCACTCTCCCGGGAAGCACCCCGCTCGACCCAAGCTGACGGGTCGACAAGGGCAATGTCTCAGAGCTCATCGAGGAGGCATTCAAGCAGACTTTAGGTGTCTTCACCCATTCAAGTTTGCAGCGTTGTTCGTTCGTTACATGAGTGCAAAGGGGGCGTGAGCCATGGGCTGCCTGCGCAGCCCCGGGACAGTAACGTCAGGCCGCCGTTTCTCCTCATGATGCCAAAGCACGCGGCCGCCGCGGGCTGTCGTCTTCCCGAGCACAAACAGTGCTCTCCTGGATAGTCGTTCTTGAGCGAATTGTAGCCAAGAGCCATCTTTCAGCGCGAGGCGCAACAATTTTCTTAGCTTCTTTGTCCGCGCTGACGGACATTCATACTACGACGTCTCGTCAACCGGCGGTTGTAGAAGCTAAGACTGCTTTGAGTGTCGGACTTTGGCCAAGTATTCGGCGCGAAGCCTCAAAGATGCTCTAACCTTGCTTGCCGAAGACCCCACGCCTTTACGCGTGTAAATGTCGATTAGGTTCATGCTCCTGCCGTTCCGCCTCGGCCCCGGACTGGACGGGATGTCAAGTAAGGAAGATCAGGGGTGGCACAGGGAGCAGGAGCATCACAGCGTCAGCCCTGCAGATCAACATGCAGGGACAGCTGCTCCAAACAACCTTGGCATACATCCTCTTGCAACCAGTACGGGCAAACAAGTGGCCTGATCAAGCAATCATCTCAATGGATGTGAGCAGCAAGTTGCTTCATTGGACGAATGAAAGTGGCTCAGCCAAACTGTCAAACAGTGACAAGCTTGACACCATCAGATGTCTTCGTGGATGGTTGGCACACAAGATGCCAGCTGATGCTTTGGTTTCTCACGACGTAGATAACGGCAGCCAATCCCCCTCTAACTCAGGTGTTTGAGAGGGCACCTGCTTGTTTCCTCTTCTAACGCACGTTGAGATTCCACACATCCGCCATTCAGTCAAATCCTTGAAGTTCAACGAAGGGGTCCTCAACTGACGAGGGCTTGCTACCGCGGCTTGGCCTTTACTTTCCACACGACAACTCTTTGTTCAGAGAGTCATTCGCTTTGAGCTAGCCATTCCCGATCCAGTCATCACCACCGACAAAGACTTCGTGCTCAGTTCTAGAAAACCATTTCGCCGCATTCGGTTGGGTGTCTCGCTCATCAGCTTGGTCATCGACGGGCTGCTACCAGTGGTATGGAACATATTGCGCCAGACTCCCGGATTTCGTCCTAGACATCATTCTTGTTGGACTTTTTCCCTCTTCCGCACCGAAATTCCATCCCACTGTCGTGTCGAGGAATCATCCAAGATGGAACCTCGAATCATCCCCAGCCAGTTGCCGCCTAGCTTAGAGATTGCCATTCCGCCTGGACACGATCTGCCTCCTCAACAACCGTCGAGCACATACCAAAGAAAGCCCCTGCCACCACTTCCTCCTTTGAGACCCGGTCTTTCACGTCAGGTCTCGGCTTTCTCTGTTGCATCGAGGACGACAATCAATAGTACGAGATCGCGAAGCAGACGGAGGAATACGCCGTCACCGGCACCATCAGGGCGGGGGGCGATCGAGAGACTCGAAAACGAGATCAGTACAATTCTGATCCAGCACAGCCCGACACCCGTATCCAGGAGATCATCAGAACACCGAAGCTGCTCGCCAACACCTCGGCGACTTCCACGCGATGAGGAGGTGACGAGAGCTTTGGCTCCACGGCGCCTTTCAACACCAAATCTACCGTCGTCGCCGTTACTTTTGAACCCGATAACTACACCTTGCACATTACATCGTTCTTCCGCCAAGATCAAACAGATCACAGGCCTCGATGTCGCATATAAAGCCATCCCGCCACCGCGTCCACCCCGATCTCCCCTGCCACCAGGCAAGCTCGCATTCCCACCGTCAACACCGGACAACCCGAGCAAACCCCCGCCGCCATCATCATCAGAACCAACGCGGACATTAGGCCTGATTACTGATGACTACGACGACGAATCAGATTTTGACAGTGATTGGGACTTCAGTCCCAGTTCAAAGCGAAACTACGCATCTTGGATTCCTGCATCGCCGGTACCGCCCCGGGTTGAGATTCTCGACTTTGACGAGGCGAGCCCACGCCGTCGCGATTCGGAGATTGGACCGCTGAGATCGCCGGGCATGCATCACTTTGAGACCTTACCGGCACGGCGGAACAATCATATGGAGGTTAGCTATGTGGGAGCCAAGGATCTTTACCACGCGACAGCTACGTCGATTGCGAACTCTGAGCGCAAGAAAGCCGCGGCATCATCCAGGGCCAGCACCGAGTCGGGTCGCGACTCCATTGTGCCTCCCAAAAACCGACTGAGCTTCGCGACCAAGGTGCTTCAGTCCGGTAGGAAGCGCCCTCCGACGGGCATCAACACCACGACGCAATCACAGTCCCCATCCCCACCGGGTCCCATGACGGGCTCGGGAAGACTGACGGTGGGCTCGCGTCCAGACATGCACGCGCACTCGCTGGACGATGACCGTCTCCGGGTGAAGTACTCGGACGCCATTTCCCGCGTCTTCAGGTGGAGCGGCGAGCACCGGAGGGCGGTCTCAGAGGGCACATCACCGGTCGATGGGCCGGGCGCGGAACCCCGAACCGTGGCGACGCCTACCACCGCGAAGACGGTGTCGTCCATGTCGTCCTCCGGTACCGGGTCGCCCGTGACGGCGACCAACTCGCCGAACAGGATGGCCAGGCGTTCGGTGCAAAATCTCGCAGCCCACGTCAGGAGGACCGCAAGCGTGATGGTGCAGTCCAAGGATGAGCGACGGAGGGAGAACCTTAGGCAGAGCATCCGGGTGATTCCGGAGGGCAGCGCAACATGAGGAGGGTTCCAATATGCGACGACGTCGGCGTGGCGTTCGGGGCGGCTTTGGTTGGCTGCTGTATGCTTGTTGGTCGTCACGGGAGGGACGCAGCACGCCCGCCGTGTTTGGGATGAGGAAGCGGCCAAGTTCGGGCAAAAGCTCTTGGGATGACAGGGAAAAGTTTGAGATGGTGTCCTGTCTCGGTGTTCGCGTTAGCGTTGCATGTTTGTCCGGGCCCGTCATGGACGGGATATCGACGGCGCCATCTAGACAGGGTCTATTTTTGAGGGAAGCGTGGCCGCATGTCATGGAAGGCAGTATTTGTGTCACCACATTTTATCCTCAGCCGTATTAGCGATGGTTGGTGTACAGCCAAAGATGTGTTTGGAGATATAATCCAGACGACTGATCTAATGAAATAGAAGACATGAGAACAAATGAAGCCGTTGATGCACGCTGAAAGTATGAAAGCTCCGGCACCGCGTGAGGCGTGAGGTTCCTCGTCCTGAGATGCCTGAGATGCACCGATAAGGTAATGGATAAGTAATAGCAGACATTTTAGGGGTCCTGCTGGACGTAGAGCATGCAGCGCCTGTGCCGGGGCCTATCACAAGCACAGCTCACACGCCTCGGCCTCTAGCCCCGTCCCCTCCGTCCTCCGGCCGCCGCCTACCGAGCTTCAGGCAGGCCACCATATGTTAGGCTTCACACCCCTCCGGCGGCAAACCAAGTTATTGACGAGCCAATGAGTGCCTAGGTGATTACTGCCTTTATCCAGGAACATCGTTTTGCCATCTTGATGGCAATGATATCTGACCATGATCTAATAAAGTAGTTCCGGTCATCGGCCCCTTGTCCGTAGGTGAGGTGGGAATAGTGGGGCAGTCCTGGTGCAGTGTGCCGTGGAAGCTCGGGTATCTCACTCAACTAACCCCACCCCCGCAATTCGGCTCGGCCTTTTTTCCATCTTCCCCCAAACATGTTCGTCTTCCCAGCAGACATTACTCCATCAGCAAGCATCTTGGCTCTCTGATCATCTTTCCCTTTCCCTTTTGGCCCCCTCCTTTCTCCAACGATACGGAATTCCCAGACAGGAAACCTGAACCCGGCACCACACTTTCATCACTTCTCCACCGGCCTACCACATCCCGCGCGGGAAGTACACAGCGGCAAACATCCGTGTCACAGTCTAGCCTGACAGCACATACAGAGTGAGATAGAAGACAAGCGAGCGTGCACCAACATTGCGTTGCACGTTATTAGACTTTCAGGCTTTCTAGCTCCGGGGAGTTCACCCTACCCATCAACTACCACATCCATCCACCTCCGTCTCCGACACCTCTTACACCCCCCTCCCTCATCTACCTTACACCAGCCATCCACCATTTGTGCCTCCTCCCAGCGCAAAGCACCCTCTTCCCCTACTTTACCCTGGCCTCCCCTCTTCCGTCTCCAACTCCAACTCCCCCGCACAAGCTTTCAGCAGGTCCATCCGAGGCAGGGAGAACATGACCCAGCTCTCCGCGCCGGACCCAACCTCTCCCCCGTCCTTCTCCGAAGACGCAACAACATCAACAACAACCACAGCAACTCCATCCACCACCACCACCACCAACGACACCACTCCAGCCCTGCAGCAGCAGAAATCCAACGGCGACGACGCCACCACCACCACCACACCCCCGACAGACGCCGAAGTCCACGAGATCAAAACCCACCTCGCCGCAGCCGCAGCGCTCGCCAAGGACCCGGCCGCCGCTACCGCTGCAACGTCAGCAGCAGCATCCAACACCAACACCACCACTACCAGTGACGACGAACCAAAGATCCTCATCCTCGACGGCGACGACGACTTCCAGGAGGTAACGAGCTACTGGGATGCTGAGGCCATGGCTCCCTTGAACGCCGTCTCTGCGGTTAGTCATTCTTCCGCCTGCTCTTGAGTTCTAGTTGTCACCTCTCCTGTCTTTTGCCTCCTCGCGCGATGTAGAACCTTGCAGTAGTTCGCAGCCATAGTAGCATCATCCAAGGCGACGTTCGCAGTAGTCGTAGTTGTAGTCAGTTCTACATCTCGACTTATGCGGCATCCAGCCCACCTTCAGTTTTATGTATCATCGCCGCCATATCCTCACACCCCTCCTCCACCCTTCACCTCATCTCACACACACACGCATGTAACATAGTATATACATCCCAAACATCTCACACTCCAACCTCGCCATTCTTCTTTTGTTTCTCTCTCTTTCTCCCCTTTCCTTTTCCTTTCTCTGCGTGTGTGGCGCCGACACACATGTCGCGCCGCCGCCAGAAGAAGCAACCATGTACTTGTGCGCGAACCGCATGCTGATGCGCTCAAAGGCGGCCATCGCGCGGCTGCGCCGCTACGTCCCGCCCCCGTTCCCCCTCTGGGACCGCCTCCCCGTCAGCCGCCGCGCCGCCGTCCTCATCCTGCTCTACGCCGACCGCAGGGGCGACCTCCGCGTTGTCATCACCATGCGCGCCGCCAGCCTGCGGAGCTTCTCCGGCCACGCCGCCTTCCCGGGCGGCAAGGCGGACACCCTGCAAGAAACGCCGTGTAAGTCACTACCCTCTGCCTCTGTCTTCTTCACAACACACCAAGTGGGATAGCCAGAGACATGAAATGCAGAAGAAGCACATCTAACCACCCCCAAGACGAAATCGCCCGCCGTGAAGCCTGGGAAGAAATCGGCCTGCCCATGGACGACGCCCGCATCCCCAAACCCTTCAAGATCGAGCCCCTCTGCTACCTCCCCTACAACCTCGCGCGCACCGAGCTCGTCGTCCGCCCCTGCGTCGCCTTCCTCCACGCCGACGAGGAGCCCGACGACCCGGAGCACCCCTCCCCGCTCGTCGAGGAGCGCATGATCCCCCGCCTCGACGCCAAGGAGGTCGCCGCCGTCTTCTCCGCCCCCTTCCACAACTTCCTCCGCGCCACGGACCAGGAATCGCCATCATCACTCGCAAACCAGAGGAAGCAGAGGCCGCTGCCCCCGGGGAGCTGGTACGAAGGCAACTGGATCCAGTGGAAGGACCACCCCTGGCGCGTGCACAACTTCTACGTCCCCGTCGACGACCAGCGCGTCACGACGCCCGGCAACGCAATGGACGCGGACCACCCGCAGGGCAACCTCGCCGAGAAGCTCGAGGAGGAGCAGGACCAGCAACGGAGGTTCAAGGTGTGGGGCCTCACGGCGCACATGCTCGTCGACGCGGCGCGCATCGCGTACGGGAAAGAGCCCGAGTTCGAGTGCAACCCGCACTTTGGCGACGAGGAGATCATCCTGCAGGCGGAGCGCGAGGGCAGCCTCGTTGACAAGAAGAGGAAAAGGGACGAGGGGGCGGGTGACAAGGATAAGGAGAAGACGGAGCCGGCCAAGATGTGAGAGAATTATTGGGAAAAGAGTCAGAGAGTTTGGGAAATATGCTTGCATTGGGTATGATTCTTTGGGAAGAAGGGTGCTTTCTCCCCGCCTTGTAGAAATAACTATAGAGTCTGCCGGCTAAAAGAAGCCGCAGCTGCCATGACGGAACGAAGATCTGCTTTACCCTGCCCCTCGTCCTTTTTGCTACCGAGGGAGAAAGCGTACGGGAATGTGTCCAACGCCTGCGACTTGCAACATCAGAAACCAATAAACAATGCGCCCGCCTGCCCGCACACCCATTTCCTGCCCCTGCTCCTCCGCGCGAATGATGATTCCAAAGCTGCGTCCCCCGCGGTCCCTGGAAAGAAAGGATATATGCCATTTGCAAACAAAAGTCGGGTCCCCTGAAGCTGTGGGACGTGTTCGTGTTGGTTTTTAAGGGAAAACGGGGAGTTTCTTTCAATGGCAGGCGTTGTCCTTTGTGGAGGAGGTTGAGTTCCCAAAGATGACGTAGCCGACGAAGGCGCCGACGGCGACTGCGACCATGACCCAGCCGTTGTAAGTCATAAAGATGAGCCTGGGGGAGGTTGAGGTCAGTTTCGACGAATGCGGTTGTGAATGGTACTATGCGCGCGCGGGTGGATTCCATGCAGCGCCGCGCAGCGCACGGCATGGCGGCCGCATTTGCTTGCGCACCCCGTGCATGTAGCCCAAACGTGGCGGCTGGAAGGGAGACGAGGGGAACTCACATAATCATGAAGGCGTAGAAGTTCTGCGCGGCGTACAGGGCTGCCTTGATGATGTGGGCGGTCCTGCTGGCCTCTGCTTGTTCGCGTCCTGTCCATAGGAAGGGGGTTGTCTCAGTAACGGTGCCAGCGATGCCTCAAGGAAGACAAGACTCTTAGCTTTTTCACATGGTTCTAGGGGGGAGGGGGGTTTTGTAATATCTGCGCTCACCGGGGGCCGGCCTCCTTCGTAGAGGAGGCGGCTCTTTTAGAGAGGTGTTTTGCGCATGTTTGTGTTTTATGTGTAAAGCAAAGAGTCTTGTGGGGGTTGTGATTTATGAAGAGGGGAGGTTTGTATGTTTTGGGAGATTGTCTGGATATGTGTGTGTGATATATGCGCATGTAGATGGCTCGGCCGGGGCTGGAGGAAAAGCTTACTCGGGAGGGAGTCGACGCGCTTGTTGACGGACTGCTCGTAGCGGCGGGATGCGGCGCGGAGGGCCTCGTAGCCGGCGGCGAGGGCGACGACGAGGAGGAGGGAGATGATGAGGCCGCCGGTCGAGCGGATGTGCCATTGGCGGAAGACGATGCAGAGGTTGTTCGTGTCCCAGGTGAAGAGCATCTAACACGGAAGATGGGAGGTTAGCATGGCTTGCGCATGTTCGGAGGAGGGAGCGGGTCGCGGGGACGGGGAAGAAGCCAAGCTATTGGCAATAGCTCGCCGCCGCCGCCGTGAAGAAGGCGTGAAGAGAAAGGACATACGCTCATGCTGCAGCGGTCGCCCATGCCGCCGCCCATACCGCCGTGGCCGCCCATGTTGCTGTGGTCCATGGCGGCGTGGTCCATGTGGGAGTGATCCATGTGTGCGTGGTCCATTTTGACGGGGAAATTTCTGGGTATTTTTTGACGGATGCTATGGTCGAGGATTCGAGGAGAGGGATTAAGAAGCGGTCGTCGAGGTTCGGATTGCGGTTGTTGATGTTTGAGAAAGAAGGGTTAAGGGGGCCCAAAGGCTCGGGATGTGATACTGCGGTCGGGGGTCGGATGGTGTCACATCAGCTGGGGGTGGTGTCTGATAAGATAAGAGGTGTACGCGGGGGGGAGGGTACGTCGTGGTCGGTTAGAGCGGGAGCTAAGGGGAAGATATGCGGGCGGGTATCAGAGAGACGATCTAGAATGAATGGGCAGAGCACGCCTGTTGAAGAATATGGGATTCTGGGATTTATCACGGCAAGGCATGCGGATCCAGCCTTGTGCCGTACATGGTCATGCAGAAAAATATCACTCAGGGCACTGCGCAGAGAAAGCGGTGGCGGGCCCGTGGCTTGAGGAAACTTGCTCATATGTGCGCAGGTTGCGACGGGATGTTCCCTCGTTCCTTTTGTTTGGTTGTCACTGTCGGTGTAGGGAAGGAGCAGGTAACTAACGGGCTGCTCGACTAGCCAACAACTCAGACGGGCACTGTTCAAAGGGTGTCAGCCTTTCTTCTGGTGCGTGGCAGGAGAGTTAAGGTCGATGCGGAATAGCTCTGGTCTGGTTGGACGAGGAGGGGCTGGAGCAGTGCCGCTGAGTGCGCTGTGCCGTGTACTTCCACTGCCCTCTAACCTCTAGGCACGCCGTAAGCAACTTCGCAGTGAGTGAGTTTGGGGCGAACTGGATGCGGGACGTGGCGGGAGGGAAGGACCTGGCAGTGCATTCGCGGCGGCTAAGGCGTTGTTGACTCGTCTGAATTGTTTTAAGAGGGTGGTTCCGCCCGGGCCTCTCCCCTCTGCTCGCATCCTCGGATGCAAGTCTCGTTCGCCAGCATCAGGTGGCCAGCCAGCGTGCTTTTTTCTCCAGTGAGATGGCAGCGGCCTGGGGGATTGCATTGCTGACGCAGACGAGGGCGGATCGCTCCCGAGTCCACTGTCCCATCTTCTCTCACAGACGGCCTCGTACAGCGAGCGAGGGCAGGGAATGCGAAGTGGGCGAGACAGCGCCAGACGGGTAGGGCGGGGCGAGGGGGGCCCGGCTCCCAGACATGTGTGATGCCATGCGTCACATGGGTGGCTCTTTTGGTCTTGCACATCTCTTCGCACTGCTGCTCCGTCACTGGACAGTTGATGCTGTTCAAGGATCGCTCGGCAGATACGGCGGGGTTGTTTCCGCTGAGCGGTTGGGGACCGGCTGTGGGTTTTGCCTGCGTGCCATTGAGGCTGCTACGGCTCGAGTTGCCGATGATGCGCGGATGAGACTGTCCGCTGGGATGTTTCTCATCTCGAAATGGAGTCTTTTGACGAGTTGCAGGTCTATATTAGTAAGACGGTCGGTTGTGAGAAAGCTCGTGGCGGGCCGTTCAGTTTGCTCCGAATCCCCAGGCCGAAGAGCCGCTCCGGATGAGGCACGGCTTTTAGCGGATGGAGGCTGATAAATGCGACTGCTCTTTTGTTAGAAATCCGACAGAGAGTCGACAAAAGCCTAAAGTCTCATCAAATGCTGACTTCTCATTCGCCACGCGAGAGCAAAGAGAGGGCGGCATTATCTACACAACGACATTGCATCCGCCCCCCTCAACTCTGACCTGACCTCATCTTGACCTGTCCATAAACCTCCTGCCGAGTCATCAACCCACATATAATTCTCCATCACAGGAGAAAAAAGTCAACTCTGATACTATTGGCAATTTATTGAATTGGAGCAGTGGCCCGCGACTCAAGTGAACCCGACAAACTTCTCACAATGCTTTCCACCCCTGTCAACCTCCCCAAGTGGTAAGTCCGCTTGTGATGCGCTTGAAGCTATTCGCGCGATACCAACTCACACCAACACAAGGCTGGAGGAGAACTCCCACCTCCTCAAACCGCCAATCAACAACTACTGCGTCTACAATGACGACTTCACCGTCATGGTAAACCAACCCCCTCCCCCTCTCACCCCCACCCGAAACCACGCAACTCACTCACAACCCCTCCCCAGATCGTCGGCGGCCCCAACGCCAGGACGGACTACCACATCAACCAGACCCCGGAGTGGTTCTACCAGTACAAGGGCGCCATGATGCTCAAGGTCGTCGACGACGGCGTCTTCAAGGACGTCATCATCCGCGAGGGCGACATGTTCCTGCTGCCCGGCAACACCCCGCACAACCCCGTGCGCTTCGCGAACACCGTCGGCGTCGTCCTCGAGCAGCGCCGCCCCGAGGGCTCGCTCGACCGCATGCGCTGGTACTGCGAGGCCTGCCGCGAGGTCGTCCACGAGGCGGCCTTCCACTGCACCGACCTCGGCACGCAGATCAAGGCCGCCGTCGAGGCGTTCAAGGCCGACGAGGCGGGCCGCACGTGTAAGAAGTGCGGCGTCGTCGCGGAGTCGGCGCCGAAGCCTGGGTCGATCAAGGACCCTAACCTGGAGTGATGGCGGGGCTTTTGAGATGGCGGAACGGAGTTTGGTGGGTGTTGTTCACGGGATGTTTGGTATATTGTAGGCGATGCAGATCAGTCCGTCTATAAAAGTACATGTGATTCTGATGCTGAATGTTTCGAGAAGTTATATTCTAGACCGGTGACCGCCGTGCCTCCTCTAACACATAAGACTGCTCATGATCCCTCATAATTTTAATCTAATTCAACCTCACATCCGCCTTATGTCTCCGCAAAGACGTACGAGCTAGGCGACTCCTCCACCGCGACCTCAATCTTGCCCTCGGCGAGCTCCTTGCCGCCCACACGGATACCGGCGCGGATGACGTCCCCAGGCACGGCCGGGCCAACGCCCGCGGGGGTGCCCGTGAGCACGATGTCGCCCTGCTCAAGGGTCATGACCTTGGAGATATCACTCAGGATGCGCGGGATCTGGAAGAGCATCAGGTTGGTCGAGGCGTCCTGCTTGGTCTCGTTGTTGACCTTGAGGAAGAGCTCGACGTCGTGCGGGTCCGCGATGGCGGACTTGGCGATGACGTCGCTCATGGGCAGGAAGGTGTCGAAGCCCTTGGCGATGTCCCAGGGCAGGCCCTTCTTCTTGGCCTCGTTCTGGGCGTTGCGCGCCGTCATGTCGATGGAGACGGCGTACGCTGTGACATGTTAGCCTGTGAGGGGAGATTGTGTGAGATGAAGGGGTGACGCACCCTCGATGGCGGCAAGGGCGCCCTTGTAGTCGTCGGGCTTGAGGTCCTTGACCTGCTTGCCGAGGATGAGGGCCAGCTCGACCTCGAAGTGCATGTCGACGCCCTTGGGCCTCAGGACGGGGCCGGCGCCGGGGAGCAGGATGGAGGAGGTGGGCTTCAGGAAGAAGAAGGGCTGCTTGGGGCGGGTGTTGTTGAGCTCCTTGACGTGGTCCCTGGATGCTGCATGTTAGCCGTCTGGATCACAGGCAATGGTGGGGGGTTGTTGCTCACGCATAGTTGCGACCGATGCACACGACCTTGCCGGCCTTCTTGAACGAGGCGGCGGTAGCCATTGAGCGCTTGAAAATCATCGACATCTTGACGATATATATGAATTGAGGTCTGAGATGGGGTTCTGTCAGCGTTCCGGGGGTTCTTTAGAGTGAGTGAGGGTAGGCGACGTCGGAGGTGGCCACCGGAGCTTCATCGGAGTCTCGGCTCACGAGCCCGATAACCTCGGGAGGATACCCGGTGAAAGGGAGGTTTGCTAACGTACAAGAACTTTGATAAATGCAGATAAAGGTGCGATTGTCAACTTCGAATTCTCATTCAATGAGGGCTTTGATTTCTTTTTCGTAAATGCACTACCAGATGATTCACTTACTCTGACTGGACAATGGCTTGCTCTGCTGGAGAGAGGTGTCTGAAGCTCCAGTGGGGAACTTCCCCTCGGGGAAAGCAGGAAAGCCCGAGGCCTGAGTGGTCAGAAACAAATATCGATAACGCCGGTTGAGCCACAGCGAGCCACAGTTATCGGTTCCAGCACGCCACCCCCACCACTCGGCATAGAACTCGAACTCGCAGGAACAGTCGAACAAATACTAACAATTCTTTCGGGTCGTTGCCATCATATATCTATGCTTTAAGTGTCTCATATACACATGGCATTCTAATTATCCTATGGCGGTGCTAGTGTAATGCGGGTAGCACTCCTTCGTCAGGCGACGTCCGTGAGGGCACGTTGTGGCATTTCGCAAGAGCTAGCTGTTCGTATCACTGTTAAATGCAATCACTCCTGGGGCAAGATAGGACAACGAAAGGCGAACAGCCGTGCAGGTTTGACTTTGATTCATCGGCTTTTCTGTGGGTGCTAGGGATAGCGGGTTGCCAGGGCCACGCCCAACAGCTGTATTCCTGTTATTTGTTTCCAGCTTTAAGATTACTTGCGCAATGAAAACTGCTAATGTGTGTACTGCAAAGTACATGTTAGACTCCAGAAATTAACCGCTTCTCGTTCTCGAAGGCACCACAGCATGGCGAGTTGTGTGAGATTGTCATCCAAAGTACGCGGTCATGTACAGCATACCCGAGTGTTGAGCATGGCCTCCGTCAATTCAAAAGGGCTGCAGCTAAGTTCCCTCGGCATACTACTGTGCAGTACGGATGGATGCCCAGACAAAGGCAGGACGACGGGACGGTTTCCCTAGGTCCGATACGTACTGAGATCTGCCCAAATTCCAAGCGGTGGAGAAGATCTGGTCGCGGGGAAAGCAAGTCAAACACCTCCCGTGGACAGTGACGGTGACAATCGACAGGGAAGAGCCTGGAGATCCGCGCATTGTGGCTGAAGTGCTCAGTGTGGGGGGTTTCCTCCTCCCCGCTTCCGCGAAGATGGCGACGGCATCAGATCCAATGGGAGATCGAAGAGGACACTTTGCCTTGTCTCCGGCGGGGTAACTGGGCGCCCTGGAGCTGCGCTCCTGCAACCTCTGATCTGCCGTCGTCTGGTACTCGGGAAGGTGATGTCCATTGGTGGTGTGCCTGTTTATCAGCAGTACTACGCAGTAGTGAATGTGCCACGGCGGCGTGCAGCAGGAATCAAGCACTCGCTGGAAGTCACCACAACGGCAGCTGCAGCAGTAGAGGAGCACCCGCACCGGCCGCTCTGTCCTTCCCCCACACGCTTCTCAGACACAATCAACTTTAAGCCGCCTGCAGCAAGCTAGAGGTACCTGACAAGCGCACCATCACACCGCTACTGCTATTGTACCTGACGCTCTGTGGGAAAGAAGGAAAAAGCTAAGACAACCCGGAAGCCTTGAATGACGGCGTCGGTGGGTTTCCATGGCCCGTCCCACCAACAACCTCCCACCTCCCAGGCTGTCTTTACCCTTCGGCCGCCCGCTAAATCCCACCATCGATATCCACTTCCCAGCAACGCCTTTAACATTCCTTGGACTTTAATTGACGACCTCCGTCCATCCCTTTACACGCACGCGACCGAAAATCTCCAGGAGCCCTTTCGCAACACAAACGCAGCAAAGGACGCCCGACGCCATGGAGAGTCTCCAGCTGGCGCAGATGCTCGCCGACCTGAGCAGCCTCAACGCAGCGGTACGTTTTCCTCTTCGTCATCGTCATCCCCTGGGACATTACTCGCCCATGTCACCCATCGAAATCTGCCCCTCGCGGTGCGCATCTCGCAGGGGGTAGGATAGGAGGCAGATCCGCAACAAACTTTTCTCTGTCTTCGCAGTGATGCTGCCCCTCCAAAACAACCCAGAAGCTGACGACACTTCCGTCAGGAACCCAATGCAGCAGCAGCTCTCGTGACGGCGAACAAGGCGATCGAGACCGTCGAAAAGACCAGCGGCGGCGTCGTCCCCAAGCGACCAACCGATGAACTCCGCCGCGCGCACTCTTCCCAGACATCACGCCCGGGCACAGGCACCGCGACGCCCGCCCGCGTCGACAAGTTCGGGCGCCGCATCATGATGAGCCCGCCCATGCTCTCGCGGTCCAACTCGGCCCAGGGTTCCGTTCCCGGCACGCCCAAGGGGGTTTCTGACGTACATCACCCCCCTCACCACCCATACCCCCACCACTTCCTGGAGGTCCCGGGACAGGAGACGAGAGCTCACATGATTGCGCAACAGGGCGAAGACGATTTGGACAGGGCTTCGACGCTGATGGCTTTGTACGAGATCCGCGCGAAGCTGAAGCAGCAGGACAACAGCAGTTTGATGAAGGCGAGGGAGAAGATTGCGGACCTCGCGCAGAGGCAGCAACAACAGCAACAAGGCGGCGCGGGCAAGAAGGAGTCCGAGAAGATTACCTCCAGGTTTACGTTCCCCAAGTGACGACAACGACGACACATCGACAACACGGATGGACGCAGACGGTTTTGTTACGTTTTGATCAGCGGCGGTACGGCGTTTTACGGGCAAAATTATTTCTCCATTTTTTCAGCAAGGGGGAACAGGTATTCGGCATGGTTGCTTTGTTAAAAGTCACGACGAATTTGGTGTTACGGGTTCCACGAGCGGTTGTACTTGGATGGCTGGGTATGTGCTGCAAGTTTGGGAGGACAGGGAGGCAACCTTTGATCAAGGTCGCTCGCTTGCTCTTGGTCTTGGTCCTTCATCAGGTTAATGAAGGGCCTTGGGAAAAATTCGGTGCGGTTTGATAAAAGATTGCGAGGGTCTGTTATCCTTCGAGGACGCAGCCTCTTTTGATGCTCTGTAATAAAGCGGTTGGGAGGCTGAGTACATCGCAGCGCTTGCTGGGGGAAGTTCCCTTGAGGCTGACCAGCGCAGGGTTCGTGTGTTCGTAGACTACGCTTTTCTTCTAATACCAAGAGCATTACAATTGTGATATGAGAGTGTTCGCGGACCAATGTGTTGGAGGAGCTTAGATGTGAAGGATACCGAAAAAGGGATGTAGGCGGTAAAAAAGTTAACCTGCCGCCAAGCCCGGCGGTGCACCGGACATACCACGGAGGTCCCGGCCGACGGGGTATGCGGCGGAAGGTGAGGGATTTGAGACCGAACCAACTGTCCGGCGCCTAGCTCGGGGATTGGCTAGGAAGCGCGGCAAGACAAGCAAAATCAGAGTTGGTCGCGAACGAGAAGCTGGAAACAGCCTTGGCGGAGGCGCCATGGAGGCGGTAAATCTAATCTCTGTTGGAGGGGCCGTCGAAGTTCAGCTGGGATCTCCAGGTGGGATGGGTTAGATTATATCAAGCTGACCTAAATTCTCGGCCGGGCCGTACTATGTTAAGTAATCGTAGCCCCCAACGTCCTCGTTTTTGAAAGTCTTGTTGGTCGTTCGTGCTTTCGAGCATTGTGTACGTCACATACGGTTTGCTCTGGATGGACATTTGGACCGCCATTGCTGCGGCGGGGATCCTTGGTCAGCCCCTCCCAGTGGGGTGGTCCTCGACGCCAGGCAGCGCTGGACGGGGCCGCCGTCAGCAGCAGCAGTGCCCCCGGCAGCCCGGGACACGCGGGTCGCCGGGCGTCTTTTAAGGTTGGTTTTGGCAGTCGCACTCGCGTCGAAGAAATGGAGCTAGAACCCAGGATGGTGGTGGGTATTCCTATCCTCAATCCCTAGAAACGCCCGCGAGAGGACGGGTTTACATGGAAGGAAACGTTGGATTGCTGTTGTAAACAAGTGAGGGCTTATTAGGCTGAAGCTATAAGTAAGTCGAAGAAGGGGGAAGGTTCTTAGTGGAGGGGGACGAGATGAGACGAAGCTGCAGAGAAACGAGACCAGCCGGAGATATTATGCTTGCGATTCCTAGGTAGGTATCTCACGTGGGCGGCCGTCTCTCGTTGAGTTACCCTGACGGACGAAGTTGTGGAATGTCGCCGCCGGTCGGTATATCGATCGCTTAGCTCTGATGTGTTCCGGAATAGGCAATTGGGGATTTCACTATCACTGGCGATGCGGGAGAGGTGACAAATGGAGGGACGGGCGGATCTGATGAGCTGCGCAACAGTGGTGGCATCTGCATCGCCTAGTCCACTTGGCTCGCGAATTGGCAGACCAAGTACCTGAGGACGCGAGATGCTGCAGAAGATGGGCGACGGCGCAAAAGTTTCCTCTCGATGATTCCAGATTCCGGCGGTGGTGACTGGTCGTCGGGAGGAAGGTAGGGTCACGCTACCGCGACAGCGCCACGGTTGGTGAGGAATCCCAGCGGGGGAATATTGGGCCACCAGAAGTGTTTGGCCAAGCCTCCCTCGTTTGCCTTTTCGGCTGGTGATGTCAGGCGCTGGGAGCGATATCCCCGGCCGGCCTGCGCTCGCTGTGATTCGCTCCTCGGCGTGCTGCGAGGAGAGGACAGCTGCGGTTGGCTCACTATTGGATTACACAGCCACTGACGGGTCGCTGGAGAGCGGTGGACTGACTGGCTGGTCGGGCGAAATGGACCCTGCGGAATAGAAATGTTTTGTCATGACTTTGCTGGTTGAGCAGTTTAGTGGGAAGTAGTGCTGATACCGGCGCAGCGGTGATGCTGATTGCTGATGATGCCGGTGCTGCTGAGATGTTTCTGAGGGAGGCATGGTCCAGGTGCTCAAGATTCGGATAGGTA